GTTGCTAATTAAGTCAAAAACATGGATATCGACAGTGACGAAGTATATGATGCCGTTGGAGTTTGCTTTGGCGTCTTCGCCATAATCGTACTCATATTCTGGATCTCTTTCCGCAACCGGAGACAATCTTCGGTCGACCCGTCGGAGCACTACGAGAGCTCCGCAACCATCGAACAAGGCCTTGATGAAGCAACAATATGTAGCTACCCGAAACTGCTCTACTCTGAGGCCAAAGTGCAAATGGAAGGTTCAGTTTCAGCACCTTCTTGCTGTTGTATATGCTTGGCAGATTATGAAGACAAAGATATATTGAGAGGTGTGCCTAACTGCGGCCATTATTTTCATCAAATTTGTGTGGACAAATGGTTGCAGCTCCACCCGACTTGCCCGATTTGCAGAAACTCGCCACTCGATCCGTCTGTATGCTTGATGATTACTTGATGTGTAATTAGTTACTGATTAGATGGAATGAAGTTTAGGATTAGTTCATTTTCTTTGACTCATGTATCAGTTGTAAACAATTTCAAGAGTTCTTGTGCAGCATGAAACATTGATAACAATTTAATTGCCATTTGCCAATTAACTTAGATAAATCATGCATCTTTTGATCGGATCTCTCTCTTCTTATTGATTCGACCACAATGTTGATTTGATATTTCATGTACTCGTGTTTAAAAAAATTACTAGAAAGATGGAGTGGAGAAGAAAAGGAAATTATAGTTGATAAGGAAAGTAGTTCTTAAAATTATAAGTCAAGCTCAAACGATCAAGCCAAGCTGAAGCCTAATTCGAGCTAGTTCGTTTTAAAATTCTAGCTGCTCGACCCGCTTTACAGCCTCTAGAGAAAGAAACGCAAGATCCCCAGGGTAGTCATTAGGCATGAAATCTTCACGCATATCTCCACATTCAGGTCCAGTGACACAGCAAAATCAGGTGCAGAAAAATCTTCTGTTGAATTACTTTCTCAAAATTGCCACCCGAACTGTCTCGGTCACCTTCTGCCACCGTATCCTCCTCCTGGAATAGCGGTGCTCTCGTGGTTCCGGATCCAGATTTCTTCAAACCAAAACACCTTATGCGAGAATTTGGCCCTTCAACGTCATCTCAAAACCATTTTCCAAAGGCTTTGTCAATATCTTCCATTAGAACTCCAGTTTACCTCTCACACTCTACATTACGTTGTCGAATTTCCCACATAGAGAACATGTGTTTTGCAAAATTTCGTACCTTAAATCCACCCATTCCCAACCCCCATTGCCACCCGAGAATTTCATCCTCATCCCTCACTGTAACGGTTTGGACACATCCAATCCCACCCAAATCCTCAGCACTCTCCAAGCAATCTCCTCCCCTGTTGCAATCAGTAGTGATATATGTACCCAAAGGTCTCTCAATCTCCTCCCCCATCGCTTGTGTCATCAAAACCAGTGGTAGCCCCTTTACTTGTATCCAGAATTCCTGCGTGGTAAGAGGAATTTTGTACGGAGTTTCCAGGTTATCGACTCTGCCAAGACCACAACTATATCTTGAACGTCCATGGTCCACCTCGCAAGATAGCCCTTCGTTGCGCCATGGAATTAAATGCGAACACAAACAAGTTATCTGCCAAGTTGACAATATTGACTTGCGCTATTGACCGCCACAAGGGCTGCATACTTTGTATGAAAGCTGCCTTATTAAAATGCTTGTGGCAGCGATGGCACTCAAGCAAGCTGGAATTTCTTCGCCTCTAATGGCGGAGGTGATGGCAGCTCGTACTCAGCAGTAATGTTTGCACGAGATATGCATGCCGCATCGGTGGAGTTGGAAGGAGGTGCACAGTTGGTTCTTACGGTGCTACAATGGAATACAGAGATGATATGCCTCATTTGGGGCATTTGGTGAATGATGCTCGACACTTCTTCCGTTGAATTCCCCACATAAGGCTGACTTTTACTAAAAGGGAGGCTAACAAGGTTCCACACAGGTTGGCTAGATTGGGTTCATTCTTAAATGAACAAATGGTGTGGTTCGAGGAACCTCTAATCACTGATCTTATGTTTGAGAATATAGTATAGCTTTATAATTTTATTGGTGTGGATGCTCTTTTTCTTTTGACCGGGTTAAAATCCGCGGTAAGGTTTTTATCAAGACTCTTTTAGTGCACCTTATCCTCTATTTGTACACTTATTTCATTATCGCATCAATGAATATCGTACTTTTTTCTCAAAGAAATGCTTGTTTAAGCTTTCCTACCAACAAGAATTTCGAAATTTTGAAATCCTCAGGGTTCTTATCTCCCACAACCACCACCTGGTCCTCCTCTTCAGTCAATGCAAATTTCGCAACAAAACTTGATGCAACTGTTAGCTGTTAACCCATGTAGAATGATGTTCTTGTATACTGTAGAGAAGAAGGAAATGCATAGCGCAGAGAAAAAGATGAATAAAGAAAACGTATGTTATTGAATATATTTCTTAATGAATAAGTAATACAAGGAAAGCTACTACTTATACTTTCTTACAACAATCTTATCCAACTACTTAACTAATTCTCTAATCTTATTACAGGTAGCACAATCTCATTCATCAATATTTATACTCTATCACCCCCTCTCAAACTCATGCCTTGAGGATTCAAGCATGAGATTGTTACAATGAGCATGGAACAAAGGTGCACTCAATTCTTTTGTGAATATCTGCAAATTGTTCTTTAGAAGACAAACAACACAAAAAAGCTGCTTCCTGGCTACCCTTTTCCCTTACAAAATAGACTTCAATTTTAATATGACTTGTCTTTTGATGTTGTACTAGATTGAAGGACAAGGCAATGGCAGACAGATTATCACAAATAAAACTAGAGCATAAGGCAAAGATACTTGCAGAAAATTGAGATGTTGCTTGATCCAGTCAAGTTCTGTAGAAGTAGATGATAGAGGCCTGTATTCTGCCTTAGTAGAAGATCTGGAAATAGTATGTTGCTTCTTGGATGACCAGGAATTGGGATTTGAGCCTAAGAACACTACTAAACTGGTGGACCTTCTATCATTGGGATCTCCTGCTCAATTAGCAGAACTAAAAGCCTTTAACAATAAATCTCCTCTGGTATAAGAAATGCCAAAGTGTATAGTACCCTTCAAGTACCTCAAAATCCTTTTTGCAATGGTAAAATGAGAAACCATTGGACTCTGCATGAACCGACAGACCTGATGCACAGAGACTGCAATATCAAGTCTAGTGAATGTTAATTATTGTAGTGCACCTAAATGATTCTGTATAGAGCTGGATTTCCATATGGTTGACCATCATCCTTAAGAGTAATAACATTCTCACGACCCCTAACAACACATCTAAATGTGTTACACTCATGAGGCATGTCATGTAATGCGAGGATTACAATGTCCTCATCAGCAAAATAAACCTCTGCAACTGACAGATAATCCCTAGCCTCAATGATCTTATGCAGATATTGAGATATAGTATCAAACTCTTTCTTAATGGTTAGTTCTAGAGACAGTTGATAATTGTTCTTTCAACCGAGTCCAAAGATCCTTAGAGCTTGAGCTACCAATTGCGCATGACATGGCAATAGAAAGAGTTGCAGTAATAAGTTGCATATTGGCACAGTCATGCATTTTCCAGACAACAAAAGCATTACTTTCCACAGCAGTAAAAGAGTCAGTAGAATTTATACCAGAATCACCAGATTGTGATGTATGCTATGTAGGACACGGATTAAAGCCTTCCACAAATCTCATGATGCCATTACTTTCCAGCAACAATTGCGTTTCGAAGTGTCAATTCAAGTAAATGGAGTCATCTTATTTAACATTCATACAGAGGTGAAAATCATAGAGATTAGAGACGTGATTGGAGATTTAATGAGTTGAAGTTGCGATGCAGTCATCATTTTTGCAGCAATCAAACCAACAGAGCTTGAATCTTGATTGAAAATTCACTGAAGACTGGTCAGAAACACCTGGTGTGCACGATTGAGAAGACATAGAAGAAGATCGATCATGATGAAATTGAGGTTCCACCCCCAAGACCATATAAGCACATAGCAAATCTTATCCCTCACTGAGATGGGACAACTCTCAACACACCCCCGCACGTGTGGCGGATTTTCAAACCTACACATGGACAACAACTGGTGACGTGGAGTGCGTGTGGCCGTTTGGCTTCACATGAGGACAATTTGCTCTGATACCATGATGAAATTAGGATTACATCATAAAACCAATTTGCAATATGGGGAGTAGCCCAAGCCCATATAAGCACATAGCAAACCTTGTCCCTCACCGATGTGGGACAACTCTCAACACGCCCTTGCATGTATAGCGGATTTTCAAGCCTACACGTGGACAACAACTGGGTGACGTGGAGCGCGTGTGGCAGTTTGACTTCACGAGGACAACCCGCTCTGATACCATGATGAAATTGAGGTTCCACCGTAAAACCAATTGGCAATATGGGAAGTAGCCCAAAATCATATAAGCACATAGCAAACCTTGTCCCTCACCGAAGTGAGAGTGAGATCACAGATCAAGATCAACCAAACTCTAGTGACGAAGGGTTTCAAAAAGACGAACAAAAGTAGAATTTTCAGAAGACGACGACTGATTCAAGGTGAGCGGAAGCAAAAGAGAGGACCGGTATATCAAGCGCAAGCAGCAATGGCGATCGATACTATGTTAACCTAATATAGAAATTAATGCACAGCACTAGAAGGAGAAGAAGAAAGAAAATGTATGTTCTTGTAATGAATAACTAATACAAGAAAAGCTACTATTTATACTTTCTTTCTAAGGACTGCGTCCTGGTTCAAACCCTTCACCTAGAACACTAAGTGAAGAGATTAGTGTAGTAAACTACTATGTGAAGAGATTAGTGTAGTAGTTTACTAAGTGAAGAGATTAGTGTAATATTTCGCATCGCTTGTGCAATGCTTTAGTTGATATCAGGTCAGAAACTTCAATTTATGGAAATTGAAGCAGTTTATCGAAATAAAAATACGAGTAGTCTAATTAATAAACACCAGTTGTACATGTTCTCGCTTGATTAATTACACTCTCACCAATCAATCCCCAAACTAAAGCAGAGAAGTTGGGAGGACTAAAATAACAGGAAAACAAGCAACACAAACAAAAGTTCACATAGGAAAAGAAACCCTAGCTAATTAATCAAAGGTTTAGTTGATTTATTGGATTTTCCTTTTCCCATAACACACTGTTTAACAAGTTCCTTCAGTCCCTTCTTCTTCTTCTTCTTCTTCTTAATCACATCAATCTGAGTTCTCTCAATCTCACTGATAACAATCTTCTCCTCTTTCTCACTCCTCCTGGTCATCTCTGCTCTCTCTTCTCTCTCTCTCCTCTTGACCATCTCCGCCTCATCATCTCTCTTCCTTTCGGCACTAGCCTCCATAAACTCCTCCTCCAGCTGCACGCACAGCTTCAGCACACGGTCCTCCACGTGATCCAGCCGCTCGATCAGCGACCCCTTCGCGTCGGTCTCCATCATGACGTGCTCGATCGGACGGCAGTGCTTCTCTAGGCTTTCTGGGGAGATCAACTCCGCGGACGATGGAAGGTGCCCTCCGTCGCTCATGAGGGTCCCGCTTGTCCGCGTAGGTGAAGAGGTGCACGAGCTACTCTTGGGAGAATGAGTATGTGAATGCGAATGCGAATGCGAGCCTCGGATTTCCTCCAACTGCCTCAGAATGGTGTCGAGCCGGTCCATCCTCGACAGAATTGGTTCCTCAGTAGTGTTGGCCATCGTCATTGCCACCATTATCTTCCCAGGAAACAAACACTCCTGTGATTCTTTCTTGTTCCTTTTTTATTCGTTGTTGTTTTAGATACTAGATAAAGATGTGGAATCGAGATGATGAAGACAGAGGTTGCTTATATACCGAAACGATACGTTGGACAACTGTAAGAATTGCGATACAGGTGCTGGATACGTGTTGATAACACGTGTCGTCAATATGAGTTACAAATAACAGTGGCGCATGCAAAGGACGAGGATTGGCCACCTGTTTCGTGACGTCATGCTGCGCCGGCCTACTGTCAAAGATTGGATTACGATGCAGCTTGGAAGATAGAGATGCTCAGATTAGAGAAGAAGGAACAACATTTTTTAGTGTGGTAAAATACGATTCGACATGTCGAGTGTAAAAAATTTATTTGTTTGAAAATTTAAAAAGAAATTTGACCAATAACGCATACTTAGTGTAAAAAATACTCTATCAGTATACCGAGTCGTGTTCTAGTTGTACTAAAAATTTCTCCGACTATAAGTTGCATTTTCCTCAATAATGCATTGATACATGTTGATATTTTTACATAAAAGACTATTAGTCAAACATCAGAATTCATCTCATGTACGTAGGTCTCTTAGCTGAGGACGTAGTTACTTGTCCGCGGCCTTCATCCGCACTCGTTGCTTCACAGTTAACAGTTAACACCGATATTTTTCTGAAATATAAGCAATCACACGTTGATACGTGGCATAGCGCGCGGCCGCAGGAAGGGAAGGAGATGCAAATTTGTCCTAGTTACTTGATTGAGGTTAGGCATTGGGATTTGGACCTAAAAACACAACCAACCCTGTAGTGGACCGTCTGTCATTGGGATCTTATGCCCAATCAGCATCACTAAAGGTCTTGAGGTGTAGATCTCCTCGAGTATAGGTGTCACCCACATTCATAGTACCTTTTAAGTACCTGAGAATTCGTTTTACAGCAGTATAATGAGCTACCATAGGTTTTTGCATAAATTGGCATACCTGATGCATTAAAAATGCAATGTCAGGCCGAGTGAAAATAAGATACTATAAAGTTCCCACAATACTCCTGTAAGCACCAGGATTAGCATAAGGATCTCCATCATCTTTAAGAAGTCGATTATATGGAAGGCATGGTGTGTCACATGCCTTTGCTTCAAGCATTTCAGTCTTCACTAACAAATCATGAATGTATTTAGTTTGGGACAGAAACAAGCCACTTGTAGTCTTGGAAATCTGAATGCCCAAGAAAAAACGTAAGGGCCCCAGATCTTTGATATCGAACTCAGTAGTAAGAGCACTGATAAATGTGGAATTGAAGTTGTAGCACTCCCAGTGATGATTATATCATCCACATAAAGCAGAAGGTCACAACTGTATTTTCAACATATTTGACAAACAAAGAAGAATCTGCATATGTATTGACAAATCCCAACTTAGGCAAGAACTTTGTGAATCTATCATTCTAGGCTCTAGGAGCTTGCTTCAAGCCGTAGAGTGATTTATGAAGTTTGCACACTAAATGTTTATACCATACTTAGGGCCTCCGTATTTAGACCTCGTATAAATACTCAGGGGACTCAAATGTAATTATGTAATAAGGGAAGGGGCAAATATGTAATAAGTGAGAAGCCCTTATTCTATAAAATGACCCCTCACCCTCACAATTGGGGAGAGCCTCATTCTCACCCTCGGAGGCCAATTCCTAAGGCTCTTCACCCCCTCAAGCTCTCACTCTCAGAGCCTCTCAGATTCATTACAGAGACTCTTTCTCTCCCCCTCAGAGAAATACAATATCAGTGTGGACGTAGCCCAAACCTTGGGGTGAACCACGATACATCTTGTGTTATTTACATTTCTTGCAGATTCGCGGTCGGATTTACGTTGTCCCAAGACCTCCAGTTTTGTGCATCAACATTTGGCGCCGTCTGTGGGAAACGACACAAAAAATCATGTCGGTTCTCTTTCATTTTTTTCACCTCCACCGTGAATCTGCAAAAACCCAGAAACAGAAAAGATCTAAATCTCAAACAGACACAGAGCTCTCTTTCTCCTCTTTAAGCACAACCTCTCTCTCTATGACCATGTTTCATCCAATGAATTCCATTCTGTTAGAAAACAAGCGTCTCTTAACAAGACTGATGAGACTGAAAGTTGGAGTTCAGTCCCTTGCTCTCTTCCTCAGCAGTAAGCACCGCCAGAAGCAGTAGCACGACCCACGAAACTGACGAAAGCCCGTCGGATTCAAGCCCATTTTCACTTCAAGATCACTTCAGAAGCTACCAGGTGCATCAACCAGAGCCCTGTTTTGGTCGATTCATCGACGATGACGACGAACCTGCCGTAGTTGACGAGAGTAACTTGTCCGATCTGCACATATCTCTTGAACGACATTTTTTCAGACAATCTAAAAAAATCGACGCAGAGGAATCGGATAAGATGAGCAAGAGGCAAGAGACTCGCCACCATCTCCAATTGCTTGGATCTGGAGATTATGTACCTGGTCAAGACTCCTAAGTGCACCAATGTAGACTCGTCGCCATACCCAATTGCTTCAGTGAGCGTCGTGGTCCTCGCGACGCATCTGCAAAACCCAAAAGCCTCCAACTAACTCTGGGCGGTCTCGCCTTCCCCGACGATGATTGCGGCGAGAATCCCCTCATAAAATGTCTCTACGTCCATGTTGGCTTTGTCAGACTCGACGACAACGACGCTCTCGCCTTTGGAGAGGACGTCGCCCTCAGATTTGACCTAGGAGACGATCTTTCCCTCGGTCATAGTGGAGCTGAGAGCAGGCATGAAGATCTCCCTGATCTTGGATTGGACGGTAAGGGTGCGGCGGCGGGACAGGAAGAGTTTTTCGTATAACAGCAGCATAAACATTGTTGTTGCTGTGGCAATCATTGGAGGACTCATAACCCCTATTTTTCAGGATGCTAATAAGTTGGATTTGTATTTGCTATCCCAGAAATGGAAAGAGTTAGCGGAGAAGGGTCGTGGCATAAAGAGAAATGAGGAGGTCATTACTAGGGATCGACGGCTATCCCCACCATTTTCCGATCGCGCCCAGTCATCACGACATGAGCATCACTAGTAGCCGACTGGTCCCACACATCACCGTCACCTATAAACTCCTCGAACCATTTCTGTCGGTGATGCTGTCAAGGATGAGTCTGGATGGCTTTAGTCGACCACCCACAGGAATTGCTTTTGTCGACCACCCAGGAAAAGTTATAGATGTGTTTGTTGTAAAGCATGTAAATCTGCAAAGAGATTGCTCTGAAAAATGGACCCATTATTCTCAAAATGGGCATTTACAAGGACCATGGTCACTTTATGTCTGATCACACGTGATAAGATTTCTGGCATAAAGTTGTATACAAGGGAGGAAAAGTCAGCTTATTATATGTGCTCAGAAAATGAAGCAGGGCCAGGGAGGGATGAGACAGAGAGAGGCGCAGTGGAAACAGAAAGCAAAAGAGAAAGTAAAAGCAAGGAATAAACACCCCACCGGAATGATGTGATTTGGTTTTCTTGTTTTTGTATAATGTAATTTATTTTTCCTATCTTTCGGAGACATCTATATAAACCCCATCAGAGAGTAATAAAAAATAAAAAAATAAAAAAAAAGGGCAAAGCTCAAAATAAATGGGTTGGAATGTTGTGTAGAGGGCGAAGGCCCATAAGTCCAAAATAGCTCCAACCAGGCGATCAAAAGTATGCCCAGTACTCCAAAATTATTTGGCAACCTACCGCTATTACCACCAACCAGGTGATCAAAAGTACGCCCAATACTCCAAAAATTATTCGGCAACATGCCGCTATTACCACCAACCAGGTGATGAAATGTACAACCCGTACTCTAATATCATTTGGCAACTAGCCATTTATGTCACCAACCAGGTGATCAAAAGTACACACAGTACTTCAAATTATACATGAACATTACTCATGTCATTCATACATAAACATTCATGAGCATCACTCATGACAATCATACATAAACATTCATGACCATCATTCATGTCAACATTCATAAGCATCACTCATGTTAACATTCATGAGCATCACTCATGACAACATCCATGAGCATCACTCATGTCAATCAACATAAACATTCATGAGCATCACTCATGTCAATCAGCTTCAAAAGCTTCATTTACAGAGCTCTAGCTTTGAAAGCTTTATTGACAGAGCTCTAGCTTCAAAAGTTTCATTTACAGAGCTCTAGCTTCAAAAGCTTCATTTACAGAGCTCTAGCTTCAAAGCTTCACCTACAAAGCTTCAGTGCAAGGTATACAAATACCGCCTCCGAACAACCGCCACTTCGGCCCATACATAGATTCAATTTGAAGTATCCAGCTAGCAGACTCTATTGACCGAAGACTTGGGGGACTACATTATGTACCATATATTAGGCCTCATGAAAAATACTTGGGGGACTTAGCCCATTATTTATGTATTAAAGAACGAGCCCTTATTCTATAAAAGGGACTCCCTCACTTTCATTAAAGAGCACCCATTATTCATGTACTGAGGAGCGAGCCCTTATTTTATAAAATGGACTCCATCACCTTCATTAGAGAGCAACGCCACCAGCTGAGCAACCGCCTTGCCACGAGCATCACTCCTAGCCCATCACTTATGTACTGAGGAGCGAACCCTTATTTTATAAAAGGGACTCCCTCACCTTCATTAGAGAGGAACGCCGCCAGCTGAGCAACCGCATCGCCGCAAGCATCAACTCTGGCCCATCATTCATATATTGAGAAGCGAGCCCTTATTCTATAAAAGGGACTCCTTCACCTTTAACACCACAAACCGAGCCAACCAAGGCAACATAAGCCACGAGCCGAGCAGCCTCGCAACATGTGCTACTTATAGTTGAGCATCATTTCAGATTGGGGCACCGCCTCATGTCTAGTATCAGTGCCAGACGCCATCTAGTTACTTCGGCCCACATATGGACTGAATTTCAAATCTCTAGCCAAAAGATTCTCTTGACTGAAGACTTGGGGGACTACTGTTTATACCATACTTAGGGCCTCCGTAGCCTCCGTATTTAGACCTCGTA